TTAAATATAGTAAACATTAATTTATATATATATATATTGTGCAGATTAGTTTTAAATTAAATTTAGAATAACTTTATAATTGAATTATGTCAGACCGTTAATGCTGTAAGCTTTTGATTTGAAGTTAGTGAGACGTTTGCAAGTCCATGAAGGAGATGAGGTCGGTGAAGATGTTTCAACGACTCCGAAGAAAATTTTTCAGATATTGAATCAGGTTATTCTTCTTAATTTGTCTTCTCATATATTCAATTAAAATTTTATTGTACTTTGTTATGCCAATATAATTTCCTTTCTTATTTTGAAGGCTATGAATCAGGATTTGCATAATATGCCACGAAATTGAAACGCAACATAAATGAAACTTGAGAAATAAAAAAAAATAGATGAAACGTGCAATAGATAGATTATTGTCAAGGAGAAACATAAATGCGGACACCTTTAAGCCTCAATTACTCGGTTATGTTGATAGAATCAGCCAGTATATTTTCCTGTAAGTTCGTATTTCATAGCTGTTATCAACTGATGTCATTGTTGTCATATATTGGCATGAAATTTGAAAAGAGGGAAAAATAAGGCACTAATTACCAACGGTATAGTTTTTTTTTTTTTTTAAACTAGGGTATAGTTGGAGTAGCTCCAGTGGAAGATAAGATTAGAGAGAGTCGCCTTAGATGGTTTGGTCACATTAAATGGAGGCCTTCCGATGAACTAGTTAGGAAAGTTGAGGTATTAGATTTGACTTTTGTTAAGAAAGGTAGAGGTAGACCTAAAAAGACTTTGTTAGAAAATATTAGAAATGATCTTTCTTTATTAGATTTAAATGAGAAGTTGACTTTTAACCGGACACAATGGCGAAAAAGGATTCATGTAGCCGACCCCACGTAATGGGACAAAGGCTTGATGTTGTTGTTGTTGTTTGAAACTAGGGTATAGTTTTGTTCTCTTAACTTAGTTGACAAGCTGTGATGAAATGAAGTCCCCATTTTTAATTTGACAACAGGTTATGAAATGAAGCCCCCTTTAGTTGATAACTGCGGGCTAGAGCAGTATAATTTTTGAATTGCAGATATACCTGGATTTTGGTCAGGTTAGATATAGTTAAAAGAGCCTGAATTGATCAGGTTCATGTGATTTGGAAGTTTTTAGACCCTTAGTCTTATTATCTCAGCATTGTGTTATTTTACCTTATGATTCACAACTTACAACAACCTTTCTCTAGATTATTACATTTTAATATGCTAAAATGTTGAAGGTAACCAAGATTTTCGAGAATAAGTGGGTGCAAGATTTTTAGCTGCATGAAGTGTATCCGTTCGCCCAAGCTGACCACCCCAGCATTTGTCTTTTGGACCCTTCAGCGCAGGTGCGATAATTTATTGTTTGTCATCCAATGTCAAAATAATATTAGGGTAAGTAGCTGGGGAAATCATATTTGACCTAAGGTGATTTTATTATTTTTGTTTTATCTATTATATAGGTATATATATATATACATACATATACATATTTGCACAAAATCACTTTGTGCATGAATATTTATAGCATCACCTTCATCATTGGACTTATCCAAATTATTTAGGGTCAGTTTTATGAATCATTGAATACTCATTTTCTATTTGTTTTATCTATTCTTTGTAAATTATTTCTTGACATTTTTTAATTCGCTCATTTTTTTTATTTAAAATCTGAATACGTATCAGATTATTGAGGCATTGTCAACTGTTCCTTCATCAGAGCTTTCCCTGAGGCTGTACTTACAATGTGCAGAGGTATGGAAATTTTCTAATTATTTTTTTCCTTAACAACCTGCTACAGAAGTTATTGTTATTGATTTGATCTTGTCTCTCAGGCTGCCAATGATTGTGAGCTTGAACCTGTTGCGTATGAGTTTTTTACTCAAGCTTTTATATTATATGAAGAAGAAGTTGCAGTAAGTAACTAGAATACAAATATTCAAGTTTATTCGTTTTTATTTTCTATTTTGTTTATTGCTTGTTCAATAAAACATTTATTTGTATCTACTACTGTTGGCCATTCTTTATTTCCTTATTGGTTGATGTAGGATTCAAAAGCCCAAGTGACTGCAATACACCTAATCATCGGAACTCTTCAGAGGATGACTGTTTTTGGAGTTGAGAATAGAGATACACTAACTCATAAAGCCACGGGGGTGCGTGTTGAACACATTTTTATTCTTTTTTAATCATGCGTAGTCTAAACTTTCGGAGATCTTTTTCATTTTTCATTTTTTCCTTGCAGTATTCTGCAAAACTTTTAAAAAAGCCTGATCAGTGTAGAGCAATTTATGCATGCTCGCACCTTTTCTGGGTTGAAAATCAAGATGGAATCAAGGATGGTGAAAGGTATAATTTAGCAAACACTTTTGTTGCATTAAATGCTTTGATTGATGCATCTAAAGACTGTTTACTTAGCAGCTGGTTAGAGAACCCTTCCATCGAACAGGCAAATTGATCTATGATTCCTGAGTATTTATTCCTTTTATTAACTGTATTTTCCCTGTCTTATTTCATTTGACCCTAGTATGCAATTTTTGAGTCTGCAGCGTGAAGTTACTCAGGAATTTACACCTATGTAATAAAAAACAGATTTACTTTTTTCCTTTTAACTATGGCTTCTCTTGGGACGGCTTTCTTACTACTTCGTAAAATGGCTTTCTAGTACAAAAAATTTAATATTTGTACTAGAAAGTCGCTTTAAAGAGTCGGAAGAAAGCCATCCAACGAATCCTATATGATGCCAAATGTTTGTCAATATACAATAACCAATTACTGTTTTGTAAAATCTATTGAGCAGTCAGGCCAAAGTTTGCTTATATCATTTATCAAATATTTAATTCCCAACTGGATAAATTTTTCATGAATCTTTTTGTGACCACTTCAATCAAGTTCAGGGGCGGAACTGTTGGCT